GATGAGCGCAGCAAAATGTATACATACTTACATTTTGGGACAAAATGTAAGTATGTGACATACAAAGGTGGCGAGTCTGAGAGTGGAGAGTATAACTCTCAGGTCTGGTACTCAAGAGATAAGTCACAAAAAGTGGACTACCAGAAGAAATTGAATGAAGCCTCCTGAGATGAGCAGAGTGAACTGTTTCCTTTGTGAGAACTGGTCCATATGTGCAGATAAATGGGGTGCATAACTAGCTCCCTTTCCTCCACACTCAGAAAACCCAATGGGAGCCGGCACATTTTAAAAATACTTTGGCAGGAGAACCCCTCATAGTTCTTCCCATAGAATTTGCTTTTAGGGGAAACTGACCGAACACCTAGACCGGAGTAGACAACTGCCCAAACGGACTCCATGTTCTACAAAACAAAATAAACGTTTTCATATACAATACAAACCCTATAGAAACTAGGGATGCACCGAGATATCGACCGCCGAAACATATCGGCTGAAAATTGAATTTTTGGCTAAATGCCTAAAGTGCCATTTTTCTGCCGATACAGCAGCGCGTCCCTGCTTTCTTTCCTTCCCCACTGGACGCTGCTCTGTGTCCCAGCGGGGAGGAGAGAAAGCGTGACAGCCGGCCAAGCGCTGTCAGAGGAGAGCGTTGTGAGCAGCCGGCGTCTCTTCCCACACCGCTCAGCCTCCTGTCACAGTCCGGCAGAGCGTTGTGTGGGCGGAGACAGCCCGCGCTGTCACAGGAGGCTGAGCTCTCCTCCCCGCACCGCTCGCTCAGCTTCCTGTGACAACGTGGTAGAGAGGAGAGCCAATGCAAACACTCAGTGATCACTGAGTGTTTGTAGATAATTGAGAACATGGTTACTATATCCTCAATTATGAATGAATGGGAAGTGATCTACATCACATCTACATCACTTCCTGTTCATTCATGATTGTAGTTATAGTAATCACACTCTGTCCTCATGTTATCAATGATCAGGAACACTCAGTATAGAGGATTCCTGTTCAATGATAACAGGGGATACAGAAAAAGAGATTGAGGACTCTGTGTTCTCAATCTCTTTTTCTTTTTTAAAAGGGAAATATCAGGGGTCTGTGTAGACCCCCAATATTTCCCCGAAGCCCCTAAAATTAAGTATAAAATACAAATATTTAATAAAAAATGTATTAATAAATAAAAATTAAA